ATTGAACTACCGGGTATGTATATATAACCTAAAGATTACTATAATATTCATATTGTAAATACCCAGTCAAAGTAAATATTGTAATTCAGTCCAAGAAAATAAAAAAATAATAACATCTACAAACAAAATCGCTTGGTAACAAGTTATAAACGATAAATACTAATCACTGATATCGGTCATAGTTCTAAGACTTTATTTTTACCTATAATATTACTATACAGCACAGCAGTTATCACTAATAAATCGGCTAAAGTGAAGAGATATTGATATAAAGTTTGAAGAGACAACAGATAATATAAAGTAAATAAAATTACAAAACATGAAATTAGCATAATGATCTGTCACTTATTTTTCCAGGCAAACATTCTCATTTTATTAAATCACTTGATGGTTTTTTAGTAATAGAAAGCCAAGAAAAACCCATAAGGTTAAAGCAAAAGAGAGAGAGAGAGACAGAGAGAGAGAGAGTGAGAGAGAGAGAGAGAAAAAAAATGGGGTTTAACTCCACTCAACACAAACTAGGTCATTTTAGGACTAGCATATGGTTCAATTTTATTTCAATAAAATCGCTTGCGCATAGGGGTCTTTAGCAGTGGAAGGAAACTGGAGAACCTGGAGAAAACCCACAAGTTTGGACAGACAACCCTATTCCTTGTCACGTACAACCGGGGAAAGAGCTGATAGTTCTTGCTATAATAGTTAAAAAATATATAATGATAAGAGAATGTGCTGAAAATTTCAGTAAAATTATTTCACTCTGAGCTTACAATAGAACTATAGACTAGCCTCGATCGTCATTACTACAGTCTTTTCGATAATAAACCAAGTCTTGAATCAAGACTCTTGATTATCCATTTTTACGGTAACCACATCTATCAGAAAACGTATTTGAATCCACTAAATATCGCAGTCATCAAGAGTTGATTATGGTCTTGGTAAGTTAATTAATGTCTAATAATGTAGATAACATTTAAGGTCTAAAGAAAGACCTGCATTTAGGTCTTGCATAATGTATGTTTAAAGGAGCTAACCCTCTAACTCAATATTTCCATAATATTTGAAATTAAAAATATGAATTAGAATTCAATATTGGTTCATTTCTATCAATATTTATGTTGTTATCTTACTGTGAAAATATTGGATCCTAATAATATTCAATATTTAAAACCCATTGAATATTCTATTGTCGTATATTCTATGGTTTTGGGAGCAATTTGTAATGAAGAAAGAAAAACATACAAGACAATACTGAAGTAATTAGTAATGGCTGATTCACAAACTACAAAATAATAATAAAAACACATGTAGAATGAACTAAGCAGCCGTAAATGACTCGTCATTTGGACTATTTACGTTTTTCACTGAACATAATTAATTAGAAATTGCAATAAATATTTTAAAAATTGAATATAAATCACTTTATATACATTCATATTACATTATTAAGTTCTTTTAGACTCATTTTCGTCTATTTTAAGGTATTAAGAATAGATCTATATGCCCTGTAAAGAAACATTATGGGAGATTAGATAAAGAGCTGGCAGTTCTCACTATATAATAGTTACAAACTAGATAATGTTAAGGGAATTTGCTGAAAATTGATCCACTCTGAAACTGAGAATTTAGCAATTGAATTTTTGGCCTAGCCTTGATCATCATTACTAAAGTCGGTACGTTAAAATACATAGTTTCGATTATCCATTTCTTGATTTAATCATGAATGACCATAGAGCATATTAGAGCAGCAGATCAGATCCTAATCTAATTAATATCGCGTGCTAGCGATGACATAGAGAGTTGATTATGGTCTGGATAACTTAATTAATGTCTAATTAATAATTTAGATAACATTTCAGGCCTAAAGAAAGACCTGCAAAAGGCAGATTTAGCTCTTGCATAATGTATGTTTAAACAGGCATTATGTAAGAGCTAAATCTGCCTATTGCCGGTCTTTCTTTGGGTCTTAAATGTTATATAAATCATTATTCAGACATTTATTAACATGAAAAAGTCATAATCAACTCTTGATGCCATTGGATGGCTCTGATTATAAGTAGATTAGATTTGATTTGGCCATTTAATGATTTAATCTAAAAATGAAGAAGCGAAGCTAAGACTCGAATGACCAGTCAATTCACATATGGTGTCAAAACCAGAACCTTTTCAATATTCATTTTGCATTATCTATTTGAAATAATACAGCGAGAATGGGCAGCTCTTTATCTATATCTTACACAATTCCCCTTTAAGCAGGTGACAAACAATCTTGGTATCAACATGACAGATATCAGTCAGTTATAGTCACCCAAACCTCAAAACAATTCATTTAAGACCCACACCTAATAAATGTTGTTAGCTTAAAACAGGACATGGTGGAAATAACATTAATAAACATAGTTCATAAAATGACAAATACTTGAAATTCTGATTAATGTTCATATCTTAAAGATGGGTTCCCGCGTACAAACTGGGTGATTTAATGTATATATGGACTAAAAACATATTCAAACTAATTAATTTGTCATAATTATGCTTCAAATCCTTCTCAAACATTGTAATTGCGAAGGAATGCCCTGCTATTAAAATTTGATCAAACCAGGTCATGTTTACGTCACGTCTTGCAAATTAGAGGAGAATTCATTGCATACATAAGACGATGTTGTCTTTAATCGCTTACTATTTATTACAAATATCGAATCCTAATTAAATTCTCGGATTATCCACTACCCGCGTCTTTTTCCGTCATTTTTATCTCTGAAAGTGGTGTACGTCTAACTCTTCATAAAGTTTATCAACTTGTACATCAAGCGCTCAATGTTCGCGTGTGAGCTTTGACATCAAGGTTGCAGAAACTCTTAATCGTCGGGCTGTTGATTAGGGGAACCCTTACATTTTTGTCCTGTATACGCTCCATGAGTGTTTTTCGGGGAATCCAGTATTTTTCTAGTAAGATTGGATATCTCTACTTTCCATATATACCAAAATTGCCATACTTTTATTGGAAATAAAAACCCGATAAATACTTTTCTGGGAACCCATCTTTAAAGAAATAAAACAACAAGGAAAGCTACACTGCATAAATAAAATTTTGCATTTTTAAAATATCAGAAATTTCTTTTTGTTGTTTGAATTGAATATTGCATTGGTTTATCACATGTTAAAAATGTGTTCGAAGAATTTTTGAAAGTAAGTACCAGAAGGGAACATCAGTCAACACTTTCCTATAGTCATTGATTGTACAAATGTCTTTTCGGGTGATTTTGGGGTTTAAATTTTGAATTAAAATAAAAAAAGTTTATTTTCCTGTTGAAAGAAGTGGCATATCCAATTTTTCATCAATTTACTCCAAAAAATAATGTTCGCCATTTACAATAAGGTTAACAAGTTCATCTCCGTTAAGAGCAACCCTCTTCGTTTCCAGTGAGTTTAATCAAGTTGCAATCATGGGCGGGTGATTCCGATCTAGGGCCTAAAATAAGGTTAAATTCTCGTGGCACCGATTCTGTGCCCAACGGCGAGCGCTGGCCCCATCGGAGGTGCGAAGTTCAGAGCTGAAAAACGACATCTTTGAACAATACTAGCGCAGTTTACATAGGAGTTTATTTGACTATGTGCAGCCTTTTTCGCATGAAAACTTGCTCGACCCTGCAGGGCATTTCTTCTGGAAAAAAAACAATGTCGCTTGCCCACATTGCTTTTTAGGCGGCGGTGGATCAAGCTCCGGTTTTCCATCCATATTTCAATACTTAAAAATCGCAGAAAATTAAGTCAAAAGAAAACTTGTACACCGTAAAACTGAAATGACGATCAAGGATGCAGCGGATCGGATACCAGGTCTACTGAAAAGCATGACTAGTGAGCTGATGTCGCGGCTGGCGCTCAGTCGACTCATCCGAGGGAGTTGATCCAGCGCCAGTTGATCTGATCTGATCTGATCTGTGCAACTTACCACAACAAGAGGAAACACCCATTAGAGGTCAGGAGGCATCACTACCTTAGACTTTTTTTATTTTATTTTTTTTCAGAGTGCGTTTTTCTTTTTTTCGAGGCACAGGTTTTTGATTTCGAAGCACGTTCGTGCTCCAAAGCATGTTATTTTAGACCTTGTTCCGATCATAAATGAACTGTCCACAAGAAGAGAAGAGAAAAGAATGCAAGCGACAATAAGACCTGTATCAGGTAAAAATAAGAGGCTAAGTTCAACAAAGGTTGTTTTTTTTAACTGTGACAAATTATAATAATTTTACTGTTATCACTTGAGTAAATTCACTATACTACTGTGAAAGAGTAATAATAATAATAAAATATATACAAAATTTTAAATACATAATATATTTCACAATTAATCTTGTATGTACATGTACATGTAGGGGGTACATGTATGTGATAGAGTAAATTATAACTCTACATGTACATACAACATAATTCTGAAATATTATGTATCTAAAGTTTTGACAAAATAAATGGACAAAGAAACTCTGCACTCTAATATTCTATGAAAAATTCGAGACTGACATTCCTATGGGGGTGTTTTTTCATTAAATGTGAGAAATTCCAATAAGATGTGTAAATCTTTAAAAATAAAATTTAAATGATGAGGTTAAAAAGAGAATAAAATTCTGAAGTCAATACACTATAAAAACTACATTATAAAAACTAGAAGTAAATACACAAGACTACGGCACTCTATATATATAACAAACTACCGGTAAAAATATTTTCGAAGATATTCTTAATTTTTAAAACATTGTATATGCCTACACCTGTGAAAATAAATAGACAAAGCAAATATTCCCTCATATATTTTAATTATTGACAGTTAATTATGAGCATTCAAGACACTAATTTTTATGCATTCACAATATCGATATCATAGGATTTATTAATTCTTGTCGCCTTTATTGGGCTAAACAGAAATTTGAACAAAAGACAGACAGACGGACAGAGTAGTCACCACATTAATGTAAACATAAAAAAGGTAAAATTTTTTAAATACATACCATCCAAAATACCATGGCCTTTCTCCCTCTTCGAAAGCAACTCTTGCATCTGTCATATTAAGTGCCTCTTCTAGACTTTGAAACTCGGTTTTATAAGGAAAAAATTGACATTCTTCCTCAGTAATGTCAAATGCACCCTCAGTGTTTGTATATAAATCTTTAAAAAAATTGTAACTAAAAGTTTGCATGGCTGTCCAATTGCTTGTTGCATCTTTAATTAAAACTGGCACTCCAGTAAAGGCATATTTTGCCATAAAAGTTTCCACAGAAAGATTTCTTTCTATTGGCACTGCTCTCAAATCTCGGCATACTTTGCAATTTGCAAGTGGTCGTACCATTTCTGATATTACTGGGTTTATATCAATTACACAACGGGAGCCATAAACCATATCATACACTGCTTCTTTCGCGCCCAACTGAAACCCTATCGCGGTGAAGGCAACTATTACTATTAACTGTATCTGAAATAACGGTCTGTTTAGTATTTTGTATTGAGATTTAAGTCCTTTCTTTTGAACTGATTTGTCAGAACCATTTTCCACCGTTGGGTCAGTCGATAGAAATGTTTCTTTAATCTCCTGGTCGTCAAGACCTTTCTTGAGCGCATTTTCGCGTATCTTTAGGAACTTTTGCGTAAGTTCATCGATTCGGCTTTTTTCTTTGATAGCTTTAGCCATTTTTACGATCTAGTCACCACTTTGGATACTTTCTGTATTGTGAAATACCACTGTAAATAAAGAAACAGGATACGATAGACATGATTACAAGTATTACCCGGATGATATTCCCCGCAGTTAATCAAATGTCAACTTTGTATATTTATAGCTCTATTCAAATTGTGTGTTGACATTGTATATTAAGCACCCATTGAGTTTGTTATCCGTATGCTTACCTTTACCGCTATACCCAAATATAATTTTGGTTTTTTTCTGGAACGCAAATATTGCCCCCTCTTTCCGTGTTTACGGTCTGTCTAGTCCTCGTCAATATTGAAGTTAACGTATATTTAAAATCTGCACGATTGTTAACATATTGTCATTGTCCAATCATAGCTTTCATTATTGCTTTGTAAGTTAATACTTCCCACAAATATCATACCTGTCAAAATGTACGTACTATTGACCAATCAAGAGTGTCTATCCTGCGCGACCTTTGGAGGAGTTCGTAGTCACATTAATACTGTGAGTCTTGTGTTATAATTGTCATATTGTTATAATTTTATGTACATGTTTATATTGTATGCTGTCCTAAATGGATGTTTCGATGCAATAAAATCTTATCTTATCTTATCTTAATCTAACGCCTGCGATTTAGATTGCAAGGTTAATCATTGAGTCAGAGTTTGTGGTTTTGATCCCATGTATGTTCGTGGCAAGTATTACGGGGAGGGAGAGGGGGGGGGGGAGACGTCTAGTGGTTTAAAGCGTGGGCGTTAGATTATAAGGTCTGACATTAAGTCAAGTGGCGTGGTTTCGATTTCCCCTTTGGGCATGACATGATGTCCAACCTCGTAGGTTTTCTCCGTGTTCCCTCGTTTCCTCCCACTGCTAAAGCGAATTTAGAAATTAAATTGAACTATATGTTAGTCACGAAATGAACTTGACGTTAACCCCTAGACCCCTTCCAGCACCGGTATCGAACTCCAGACATCCTACAGGTAGTAGAGATCTTACTCACTGAGCCATCGTGGCTCACCAAATTATAGCATGGGATTAGAAGCAGATAATTGAAAAGGTACATGTATACAATATTGATAAATACAGAACTCCAACTGTATAAAACAGTCATGAAGCGGTTATAATAATATGAGGTTTAACGTCATATACGTGTTTATAACATTTAAGGTAAATTGAAAATATTTACAAAACAGGCTGTTGTATAGCCTACCGCCGTATTTATCACCCGGCTAAATTATTGTGTAGGTGACGAACGGATATAGGTATAGCTTCTCTTACCACGTCATTTTTATTCACACGAAAGGTAATGAAATCAGAAATAGGCAATTTAATCGGGTACGTAAATCCAGCACCTTTTCCATTGGTGATAAACTCATGTGTGCACAAATACCGCTGTAAGCTGCTTGATGAGCGCTGTGTATCTAGGCTGTGTTCCTGATTTTTCTAATAACTAACAATTTCTAAATTATACTTTTCCGCACCTCGACAATAGATCCAACGTGCGACAAGAACAGTATATCAGACGAATCGTGTAGATTAATATAAGTCCAATTAAAGGATATTATTTTTAGCGCCAACGTATCGATTATCGTGTTTGTTTTTATTCCCGTGGTTTTATTCAACTGGTTCTTGCATGTTTTCTGGTTAGCAGGAAACAAGAGAAATTTTATTAACAATAATAGATCGATTTGGCCTATTCAATAAAGAATACCATTTTCTATTAACACACGTATGTTGACTCTATATCACGTGGACGACGCATTGAAAATGTAATCCATTAAAGAGACAAGTCTACGGGGAATATAATTGTCAAAGTTGAAACTAAATTATAATTTTCTCTCCCCACCTTGAAGTACATTCGAAAGATCATCTCCCCATTTATTCTTATGAAACTAAATTAAAATTATCTCGCCCCACCTTGAAGTACATGTATACAAAATCATTCGATAAATCATCTCCCCATTTATTCTTATCTTCATTATCTCAGTTGGAGCACGAAACAACATTCCATTACATCTCAATTCCTATCTATATAAATATGGAAGGATAACGTTGCCACTATTATTTCAATGTTCACGGTGCAAAATACATATGTCAGCAATTCAAAATACGTATGTTAGTTTTGCAATTTCCATTGCTCCACAGTACCAATGTCACAGTGTTAAAATTCAGAATACACTTTTCAATAATACAAAATACAGTGTTAGACCGGGAGCCCAGGCTCTACCTAGCTGAAAAGTGTACCAATTTTCTCCTATATGGTATCAATGTATGTATATCTGGTATCATCAGAATGTAAGTCTGCCGGGTTTCTGGTGGTGGGTATGGTATTCCACGCCCTAAATGCCATGATCCCCAACTAGGCTAGATTAGCTCAAAAGTGTACCACACGAAAATCTTACTGCAGTGTACAGTACATCTTCAGGTATTACAAAAACACTCTGACAGACATTTCTAATGGTGGGGTACCCCTGACAGAGCTATGTAATTGCCAGACATTTGTAGTGGTGGAGTATCCCTGACAAGAGTTATCTAATATTTAGACTAAAGCTAGGCTAGATTAGTTGAAATCTGTACCCCCTAAAACAGCTTTGGAGTTGTTCAGTACCACCACAGGAGTCATGAATGGTCACTGCCAGACAGTTTGTGCTGTGGGTTACCCCTAACAGACACGCCCCAAAATGCCACGCCTCCAACTAGGCTAGCTTCGCAGGCACTGTTCCCGTGTTCTAAAAAATTAGATTTTTAGCCAGGATGCGTAGGATACTAATACCTAGCACGTATGGAAGAGGCGATGAACTGCGATTGCAAGAAATTGATTTTTGGGCAAAAAACATTTTATGGGGCTAAAAATGCGTTTTTGAAAAATAAAATTGTTCCTATACAACCGCAGTTTATCGCCTCTTCCATATGTGCTAGGTATTAGTATTCTACGCATCCTGGCATAATTTTTAATTTTTTGGACCACAGGAACAGTGCCGACTAATCTATCCTAGTTGGGGGTCGTGTTATTTTGGGCGTGTCTGTTAGGGGCAACCCACCGCACAAACTGTCTGGCAGTGGTCACTCATGATTTCTGTGGTGGTACTGAACAACTCCAAAGCTGTTTTTGGTGGTACAGATTTGAGCTAATCTAACCTAGCTTTGGTTTGGAAATTAGATAACTCTTGTCAGGGATACTCAATCACTACAAATGTCTGGCAATTACATAGCTCTGTCAGGGGTACCCCACCACTAGAAATGTCTGTCAGAGTGTTTTTGTAATACCTGAAGATGTACGGTACATTGCTGTGCGATTTTCATGTGGTACACTTTTGAGCTAATCTAGAATAGTTGGGGGCATGGTATTTTGGGCGTGGAATACCACACCCACCACCAGAAACCCGGCAGACTTACATTCTGATGATACCAGATATACATACATTGATACCATATAGGAGAAAATTGGTACACTTTTCAGCTAGGTTAACCCCCTGGGCTCCTGCTCTATATAATAGTTATTTTGCACATTACACTTCTCCATTCTGCATTTTGCATAATAGACAGATGCATAATAGAACTTAGCATATTAGAACATTTGTACTTTAATTCGAAGTTGGCCAATCGTGATTGATCTGTTGATTGTGGTCTTTATTTGGTTATACAAAAAATCGCGTTTTTAGCTTCGCTAAGAATATAAACGATTTTACATGCCCAGATTTAATGTGGTCGTATAATATATTAGCGGAGATTGACTTAACAAATCTCTTTCTCCCTCTCTCTGCCAAGTATCATACATTTTTGGGGAAAGAAAACTGATTTATACAATTTTATTGACAGAGGTGGGAAAAAGTCGCGGGACCTCGAGTCCGAGTTGAGTCCCAATTTGCTCCACCTCGAGTTTAGTACCGAGTCGAGTCCCAAGTCTTCACAAAGTCCGAGTCCCGTTCAAGTCGCCAGGTCATCAAGTGTCAGCAGTTCATAGCGAATAAGGTAAGTTAGAGTTATGACCCCCTCTCCGCGACTGAATATTTCAAGTCGAGTCGCAAGTCTGTCATTGATGTGACTTAAGTCGGACTCGAGCCTGTTTCGCATGACAATCAGGACTTGAGTTCCCACCTCTGGAATTTGTCACCTAGTTTTTGAACTATTGATTTTTGAATAGAAAGCATTTTTTTAGTTATTGTTTATGATCGGCTGTTTGTAGTCGGATTATAATGTAAAATCAATACCTATCGGATTGTTTGGTAGTCTATTTATTTATTAAATATTTTTATTGTAACCCAAATCGATCACATGATATATTATTTCAAACGGCAGAATATTCACTGCGCATATCTGGTAATAGGGAATCGGTTTCAGTCGAGTTATTTGCCCCCCCCCCCCCCGCAATTTGATAATCTCGGCCACAGACATGAACGTAATAACAGCCCCCCACCCCAATAATTTGGCCGCAGGTTATTGCACGCAAGTAATTATGCAGTTAGATACAACGACGTCTAATTTTAACATAGAAGTGAGACTTCCAGAAGAAAACCCTGCTATGCTCTATACTGATCCTTGGGTTGAGAGACCCCCAGTTGCGTGGGTCACGATTAGTTAAATGAACAGTCGATCTTTATTTCTACCGGATCACACTTTCGTTGTATCTGTGGCAGATTAGGTAATATAAAAAAAACGACTTAACGACGGGATAGAGTTTTTCTCACACTCATCCCTTGTGTCCCTTATCAATCAAAAAATTCACTGCTATCAGTTCTGACCAATTGAAACAAGCGGTTGCCATGCAAGATACTCCCACATTTTGCAAGAAATGTATGGGGAAGAGGTCAAATCAATAGGGCTCACCCTCTCATTCAAGATCTTTTGATCCTTAACATATTTGTTAAGTTTCTTCAGAATGGGACAACGATTGTAGCTCCCCTGGAGGGTTTACAAAATCCATACATATTTCACATTTTTCGTAAAAAGCAGGGGCTATAGCTCTAGAATGTAAGGTCTGATGAGTACCAAAGTCAAATTCATCCAAGAACGTTTGATCCTTACCACATAGTTTAAGTTTCATCTCGTGTGTCGGACAAAATTGAACTCAACTAAGAAATAGTGATACTCGTTTTGAGTTTCCTCTAAATCGAATAAAAATTGTGACATCTAGATGGCCCACAACCTGAGCATTACTTGCTTTTATGCTATTTGCGTAAAGGGGCGCGGCCATTTGACTGAAAACTTCGGTCGGATTTTCACGAAATTCGGACTCAACCATAATTATTATGTAACGGTGATATATTATATCAACGATTTTGTAAATAAGATAAAACTGATGATATTTCGTACAATCAAAGGTAATAATCCAAAAACAAAAAGTTACGGTCCAATACGCGCCAATATCGAAAGGAACGGGGATATATTTGAACGGTTTTTACAATCAAATAAAAACTGTGGGCTCTAGAGGGTCCACAAGCTAACATGTATGGAAGTGACGATTCTATATGCGCCAATATCGAAAGAAACCCAAATCTCTCGGTTATAAACATACGAACAACAACAACGTGATGAGGTAGTATAGCCATACTAAACTTAGGCTAGTTCAGCTTGAGAACAAAAACTAAGCTACACCGACATTTTAAGTCCTAAATCTGTTTCTATTCTATGTAATAAAATTAAAAAGGTTTGTTTATTCTTTGTGAGTATGGGAACCGGAGTAGAAACGCATTACAAAACAGTATACTAATATTTGGATATGGCGCCCATTTAGGGCAGAGATCTATTCTCGAAGAATGATGTATATGGTTCGCTGTGTGCAGAATGGTAGTTGTATACGCATTCGGTGCATTCAGATTCAGAAATGAAATGAAATAAAATGGGGTGTAACGTCCTACTGTTCTGCTCCCACTAGGCTAATGAAGACGGGTATACGCCATACATTGTGCTATGAGGCCTACTCTTCTAAAGAATTCCAACTGCCAAGGGATCTTTTACGTGCACGTCAATGTGTACACGGGACCTCGGTTTTTTCGTTCCGTCCGAACGACTAGACAGCTGTCCTTGTCAGGCCATCCGTACTGCATCATTGACAAGGGGAAACCACGGCAGAAAAACCCCGATGAACAATCGCGGCCAACACTGGGACCGAACCCGCGACCTCCAGGATAGAGAGCCAGCGTCTTACCCACTTTGCCATCTTGGCTCTATTCAGATTCCGAAAATGTTTTTTTTTTATTTCTTGTTTAGATATAGTCTGTAAACGATACGCATGAGTCGTGTAACTCAGAGTTTGAACGTCCAATCAATTTTTCTATATCTTTTTATAAATATCTTATTCCGTTTCCAACCCAGTGCGCACTTTTCCAAATACTCTACGGAAATCAAAACGTCATTCATTGTAATTCATGACAAATCCCTCCAGTGTATCGTGTTCTATTTATTGGCTTTTGTTCAATGAATGACAACTCTAATAACTATTTTGTCAAGTTGAATTAAGCTTCGTTGGGTTTTAATTTAATAGCTTTTTAGTTTGCTCCGTTGTCTTTATATCTATTATATTTAAAGATACGATATGTAAGATTTAGATAAAGAGCTAACCATACTTGCTATAATGGCTCAAAAATAGATCAGGTAAAATGGAAACATTGAAAATTTCATTCAAATTACTTCATTCTGAGCGAAGTTATCAAAGGTGGCATTTTGGGGCGTGTCTGTTAGAAGTAACCCACCGCACAAACTCTCTGACAGTGGCCATTGATGACTCCTGCTGTGGTACTGAACAACCCCAAAGCTGTTTTTGGTGGTACAGATTTCAGCTAATCTAGCCTAGCTTTGGTCTAAATATTAGATAACTCTTGTCAGGGATACTCCACCACTACAAATGTCTGGCAATTACATAGCTCTGTCAGGGGTACCACACCACTAGACATGTTTTTCAGAGTGTTTTTGTAATACCTGAAGATGTACGGTACACTGCTGTACGATTTTCATTTGGTACACTTTTGAGCTAATCTAGCCTAGTTGGGGGTCATGGCATTTAGGGCGTGGAATACCACACCCACCACCAGAAACCCGGCAGACTTACATTCTGATGATACCAGATATACATACATTGATAGGAAAAAATTGGTACACTTTTCAGCTAGGTTGAACCCCTGTACTGGGCTCCTTGTCTATATCTCGAGTGTCTCTGGATTTATCGTCTTGTAAACGGACTCTATAGCAAAAGCCCTGTGTTGGCCTCTATGTCCCCATGATAGAGGTCATAAATTTACCAAACGGTAAAAACGGGTTGTCATTTAGCCCTAAGTTCATATTGGCCGATTTATTTCGTTATTATTACCCCCTTAAGCTTAATTAATCTGGCCCTGCCTTCGACCCCAGTTCGTCCCATGGTTTTCTACACGGCTGTAGAAATATCTAACAGCACAGAATAAAAAAAAATCCTGAAAATAAATCAACATTTTCCTGAAAATATCTTATCAACATTTTATGAAATCTAAGTGATAAGCAAGGTGCCAAGAAGAAAATCACGCCCATGGGAATGATGGGATAGTCTCACATTCACGTATCACTTTACGTTTTGTCCACGACCACAATTAATTGTTTGGATTATGTTGTCGATATTTCGTACAAATTGTTTGATTCGTGGCAAACGATCGTGCGGGCATTATCCTTAGTAATTACGATGATTACAGATCTATATAAATTATAATTTCAGTGAATGGAAATATGGAAAATATTGATCGGTTGAGTAATTCATTAATGATGTAGATTTAATCTGTGATAAATCTCAGCTGACACGAATGACACTTATTGTCGTACACCAGCATGCTCTCTAATTACAACCGTGTTTCCTGTTAACTAATCGGAAATCAATTATCTTAGCAATCTGCGTGTTGGTGGCCTTGACTAGCTTTCGCTTTTTTCATGGCATACAGTTCGCAAAATTTGAACTGCTTAAATGAGAAAAAGTCTGGCTTCCGGTGTTGTCAGAGAAATTTCTTTGGGATTTTCCAGCAAAGGTTTTGTCAAAGGTTTACGGCCTGGCAAGGACCAGCATCTAGTCGTTCGGATGGAACGAAAACCGGAGTTCCGTGTACAAGCTGGCAGTTGGAATTGTCAGAGTAAGCGGATATGTCGCTGTCTATGGCGGGGTATGGGGTTCAAAATGCAGTCTAGAGTAAAAACCAAAACGTTAAAAGTATAAAGTAGAAAATCTGAAGTAAACGGGAAGATTTGTATCTAAAAGGGTATTAATCTACATTTTTGGTGCATGCCCGACCCCCTGGGACAGAGCCACGCCAATTTTTTGTGTGTGTCTTTGTGTCGTCAAATCAGTATGATCCATCATAGGGCTGTACCTATTTATATAGGTCCATGTCCAACCTCCAGGCTGGAGTTCTGAATGGATCATCTTGGAACTTGGTATATTTATTCCTTACCAGGAGCGTTGTCACACCCACTTTTTGTTAATATTTAGTCTGTAAATCTTTCAAAACAAACCCAAACGTCTAGCTTTCTTTGCCTCTTGTCACATTATAGTCATATTTCATGCTCTTTATTTTAAAAAGTACCATATCAATCAAAGCAGGAATGTGGACGTATATTGCAGTGGTAGCGATGCTTTTGTTCCTGTCTGTCTGTCTGCATGCGCGAAAATCTAAAACTATATTAGAGGCTTTTGGCAAGCTTAAATCCCTGGTCAGTATCGCGTATCCGTATGGTTTTTGCTAGTGACGTCACCAATACGGCAGCAAGTATCGAACAGCTTTCATACGGAAAAGGTTCGTATAACATTGTCGTCTTTTTACGTTTTTTTTCCCTACTTTTTGACGCTGAAATGTTGTATCATAGCGTTTTTATGAATCTATGTGTATCCTTGAACACGAAGGTGTATATATTATGTGATATTGACCATTATAAAGACTTGAAGTTATTCATTATTAATTTTATGAATCTATATGTATCCTAGAACACGAAGGTGTATATTTTGTGTGATTTTAACCATGATACAGACTGGAATTTAATCATTATTTTTTATGAGTTTTTCTCGGAATTCTCATATTTTTTTCTGTCTGTCTGTCTGGAGTTGGTTGGGACTTTCAAATCAGTAAATGATGGGATTCTATGGTAAAGGGGTATAAACTTTCTGAAATGATACATTAGTGAAACTAAAAGTTGCTGTCGAGTCGAAGTCGAAGATTTTTAATAAGATTCGACATTAATTCTTTTTTAATAGCTCAGCAATTGTCAAGCGACTTCACTGCCTCCGGGAAATTGTAGGCTAGGCACTTGGCCAGTACCGATGGTGATCTTGTATAGCCCAGCAGGACTATGGCTGAACCTGGAAATTGTATACAAACTTTTTTTATGATTGATTTTGGTGTCTAACCGTATGTTTTGGGGGCCAAGGAATACATTGATTAGATGATAGTAAAATCAAACATGCCGGACAATATGGCCCTTTAACTCGTTAGCCGTGTTTGGGGGCGATTATTTCACCGAACCACACTATATCTAAAACAAACTATATATTTTTGGACATAGGAACATAGTAGTGATAGGATTACACCTACATGGGTAGGTCCTGAAAAGGGAAGCACAAGTTGTTTGTTGAACATTTAAAAAAACAAATTCTACCCGCAAAACCGGAACATAACATCCACAAATCTAGGTAATATCCAATTTAATCCTTTAGTCGTGTTTCTGGCTGTAACCTGTGACATCACAAGCGAGAAAAGGAGTGACGTCTTACTTATTAGAGCAGGTTATCCAATCTTATTCCGAAAGAGGACACCACGGGCTACTAAAATCAATCATAAAAAAAACTTTGTATACAATTTCCGGGTTCACTTGAAATAGTGAGTTTGGCGACCGGACTAGTATGGAACTAAGTTCAACTAAGTTATGCATACGTACGCGACGCGAAAATCTGCCAAAACTCTAAAATTACATTGACGCAACGTATCACGTATACGATACGGATACGTGATACGGGTGGGGAAAATTCCGCTTGCCAAAAGTCTCTATTGGCGCAACGTTTCAGGTGACGATACGGATATGCGATATATGGATGGGGATGGGAAAAATTCCACTTGCTGAAAGTCTCTAATACCCAAATCTATTTTGCCGTATGCTCTCACTAATACTGTCGTGATGTGTTATGAAAATTGTATGGCCACCATCAGAGGCGGATTTAAGGGGGCGCGAGGGGCGCGAGGGGCCCCCCCCCCTAATTTTCGACAGTGCCCTTTTATACTGCTGAAAGTGCCCATTCTCAGACCCAAATATGTCCGTTCCCAACCCGTTGCAGGGATCCCAAATGACTCAAACCATCGATTCAAACACACCAGTCTGGTCAAATTAATGCTTCCACTTTCAAACGAATTCTTGTTGTTTAGCTGACGGTGCCCTAATCCTATAGAGTGACTATAGACAGACATCTTGTGGAATCGGCGGCGTATACACTCATGTCCATCACCGACGCGCATGAGTGCAACTTGATGTAGCATTGTTTCATGTGTGGACAGTACAAAGTACAAGTTACAAGGCTTAAATAGTGAAGAGGCTAGGGAATAGTTTCGTCTTTTTTCCCATCATAATGCCTCGCTCGCCTTGACAATTTTCGAGTCGCATGTTCAACTGGCTTTTTTGCTCGATTTTAAGGCTCTTTTTCAACGATATCCGAACGTTTACTTAGACGAAAATATCAGCCAAATAGCTCTTGGAATGGCTACAGACGCAAGGATAATTTTCTTGGGGGACCCCCCCCCCCAAAAAAAAAAAAAAAAAAAAATCCCCTCTCAGCGGCGTGCCCCGTCTCCGCGGTCAGTGCCCTCATTTTGCGGCGCCCCCCCCTTTTCAAAATTCCTAGATCCGCCCCTGACCATCAGCTGCCATATAGAATTTGAGAAAATCTGCCCTAGGAAATCATTAGTAGAAAATCTGAAGTGGAAAGTCGAAAGTCAAAAGTTAAAAGTAGGAATTCGAAAGTCAAAAGTTGATAGTAGAAAATAGAAATTCTGTCATTGAAAGTAGAATTCTGACGGTTTAAAAGCTGGATAATTTTGTTATAGGTTTCCACCATTAAAATACTCTTTTAGATAAGAGTGCCCCCTTTTACTTTTGATTTTCTACTTTCGACTCTTTACTCAAGATCGCATTTTAACCCGATACCCCGCCATAGCTGTCCAGTCAAAATTTCGCTCATAGCAAGTCGTATGGTGTATTCCCATCTTCAATATTCCGGTTGGTCAGGAGTCACGGTGGCTCAGTGAGCAAAACGTTCCCGAGATAGAAAGTTCATCGGGATTTTCTGTTGTGGTGTCCCCTTGTCAGTTATGCAGGATAGGGGGTCTGGCAAGGGACAGTGTATAGTCGTTCGGGTGGTACAAAACACCGAGGTCTCATGTTCACACTGGCGTGCACGTAAAATAATATCTGGCCGTAGCGCCGTTCTCCGGGCAAAAGTTCCCTCACAGCTCAGCGTATGCCCGTCTTCATTAGCCAAGTCGGGGTAGGACGTTAAACCCCATTTCATTTCATTTTATTTCATTCCAGGTTGGTTCAGAACAGCAGGACGTAAACCCCATTTCATTTCCTCAATTTAGAATTTCCATGTTACCAGAGTCGAATTATTATTTTTACTACAGAAGACGCGCCGGTATTCCGTGAATGGATAGAAAGAAACCCCAAAATATTATACATAGATCCCTAGAGGTAATCAAATTCAAAAATAAAAACAAAATTTTACAGCAGTTTAAAAATAGTACGTGCACGAAGTTCTCCAGTTGAGTCCCACTTATCGGTAAATCTGTAAATAATTTATACGCATGGAATATTTCCATAAAAAGTTCGTTATTATCTTTGCTACTCCATGGGGTTTGCTTGAAATACATCAGATATTGACGTTTTATCGACGGAGATCGAGGGCAGTATGGATTCAATTGCCACAGTTCTCTATATAGACTAAATATTTTCATAATCATCTTTTATTTTTTACTATTTTTAGTTGCAATAAAAACGACCTTAACATTTACATGCAGTCGAATTCACAAACATAATTCGTTTTTATGAAATCGGTTTTATAGTATAAATACTAAAACTTGGGCCCTTATTCACGAAAACTTAAACTAAGTTACAACCGAAATTTTAAGAAATACTGCAACTTCATTGGATATATGCAAATTGATTTTACTGGTCAGCCAATCGAATTGCAGTATTTCTTAAAATTTCGATTGTATCTTAGTTTAAGTTTTCATGAATAAGGGCCCTGTACATTATATTATGTTGTAAGTGTTACTGTTTAGAGTTAAAAAATATGAAGTTTTCTAACTTAGCTCTTTCTTAATTTTGTGGCATTGCTGTCATAACAATTTCACCTTCATTTGGTAAAAATAAGATTGTTGATCTGTGGAAAAATAAAATTGTTGATTTGTGGAAAAATAAAATTGTTGATTTGTGGAAAAATAAAATTGTTGATTTGTGGAAATATAAAATTGTTGATTTGATTTTGTATTTTGATTTGTTGTATGGAAGACCAAACAGTTTTTTATTCAATGTTCTTAATTTATAGTCATTAATTCTTAATTCTTCATTTTTTGTCGTATTTCAATATTTGTACACTAAAATAAACATTTTTATCTTAAAATCAATATTTGTTTTACAAATCAGATTTGTAAATTGTATTTTTGTTTAATTTATTTTTAATATGCAACGAAAAACAGATCTCGAACAAGAAATTTCCAAATACAAATCTCCAAATACACATTTTGCCAAACATTTGTCAAAAAACATTTCTCCTAAATCATGGAACCGGGACGCTAGTGGTGAGCCGAAATGAACCTGGCATACAATAAGTCACCATACAATAATTGGGAATCGAGCAAGCAAACAATAAGAAAAATCGTTCGATGACTATAGTGAAATCACGTGCGTAGTATATGGCTAAACCACTGAGTTATCTCTCTCTCTCTCTCTCTCTCTCTCTCTCACGTTTTCACCGCGATAGCGGCTCTTCAGGCATTTATTAAACAATAATTCAATTAACATTTATTAAACAATAATTCAATTAACAATGTTAATTGAATTATTGTTTAATAAATGCCTGAAGAGCCGCTATCGCGGTGAAAACGTTAGCATAAAAATATAGTTTTATTTTGCCATCTTTAATTTCAATTATATATTACCAAAGAGCAGCTTTAATTAACTATTCTACTATATATATATATATATATATTTGCAAGATGGTGTCCCCAACAAGGGACACGACGTGCCCGACGTTAGATCATTTTCTTTTGAATTTCACGTTAAAATATGAATATTATGGACATTCCTAATAAAATTGATTTTTAAAACATTTTTCCTCAATTCTCCAGTCTTCAGCCATCTTGCGAGGCAACTCATCGCGTTTACGAGAACCGATTCGAATACCAACTCGAGACCTATGTCTATAGTACAAAACGAGATAGTTAATCGAAACCGATTTGTTTTCTCGTAAAAACGCCTATTGTACAAAACGAGATAGGTAATCGAAACCGATTTTTTTTCTCGTAAAAACGCATATTTGTCGTATTTACCACGACGATTTGCCAAATCGATTATGCAAATCTTCCAACTTGCTCGCCTGTCGGATTGACGATTCGATTTCCAAGATGGCGTCCCCAACAAGGGACACGACGTGACACGACGTGCCCGACGTTAGATCATTTTCTTTTGAATTTCACGTTTAAATATGAATATTATGGACATTCCTAATAAAAATGCGGGGTTACAGTTTAATTTAGGGGTATATCCTTCAATAAAGAATCCTCAGCTCTTCATTCTCTGTGCGCATTTTGTATATAGGACAGATTGTGCGCTATATGACTGTGAGCTAAGGGGTATACATCTATAATATGGGGTTTTAATAGTTGTTTATGTACTCGGACTCTTGCTCTCAATACATTCCCCGTTTGACCAATATATATATTCTTCGCCACAACCAGCGCATGTTATTACATATATTAGGTTTCTAGAGGCGCAAGACATATTTTCCATTATTATGAATTTTGAGTTATTCCTAAAGGTGAATTCATTTATCTTTAGGAATAACTCAAAATTCATAATAATGGAAAATGTTTCGATGACGTAAACGGCAGGTGTCAACCAAAGCCCTATATAGGGAAAGTTACGACAATTCATTTCCAGGCACCATTTTGGGTCCCAATTATGACGCCATAAAAGCTATGCCGGGCTGTTCCGGGTAGACGGACAATGTGAAAAATAAAATAAGAAATATAATATTTCTTGTGAAAAAAAAATCCTTTTGCCTTCTAGTCACCGAAAAAAAAGTGCCCGAAATCCTATTACCTTTTGACCAAATCTGCATTGTGCGACAGTTTTCGGGCTTTAAATTGACGAATGGATAAAACATTTAAAATCAGTATAATATACACTGTCTGGTGCCACTCTATGGGCGCCATATTTTTCGTGCCTCATTTATTTGATTTATCAGTTTTTCGGGACGTAAATTTCTGTAAATGCAACTGATTGAGCTCAGATGCGTATCGAAAAAAAACATATAATTAAGGCTATATTTGAGCACCTTCAGTTTGCTGTATTCACGGACTGAATTAACACCCCCAATATATCCGCCGACTGTCTTGTTATATAGAGTACTGCATAAATTGGTGGAATTGAACTATTTTTGGACTAGTATTCGTATTAAATATTCAACTTTCACATAATAGTTTGCAGAGGATTCATGTAGAGCAAGTTTTTAATCGTAACAAATGTAGGGCCTAATGTAGGCCTAATATTCTTCTTAAATAAGCTTTAATTTGCAATGGATGAAAAGTCATATAAATTCTCCATTATATCTAATAAATAATAAAGCCCAGAGGCGTGCTTGGGCCTCCGAGGGTAGACAGACCAAATTTACGGTACTTTTGGCCGAGGGGGGGGGGGGGGCGTCACAGGCTAGAATGGATTTGACGTATATCTGAGCTACGGCATACCATACCTTGACACTTGGTTAAAGATACATTATGTAAGATTTAGATAAAGAACTAGCCGTTCTTGCTATAATAGTTCAAAAGTAGATCATGTAAAATGAATAATTTGAAAATTTCATTCAAATTACTCTATTGCAAGCGAAGATATTAGCCTTTGAAGGTTTGACAGATTGTGCAGAGAGAGAGAGAGAAATGGGGTTTAACGTCCACTCGACACAAACTAGGTCATTTCGGGACTAACATATGGTTTAATTTTATTTCAATAATTCGCTTGCGCGCAGGGGTCTTTAGCAGTGGGAGGAAACCGGAGGACCCGGAGAAAACCCACGGAGTTGGACAGGCGACCCTACTCCTTGTCACGTACAACCGGGGATTAGAAACCACGCCAGTTGACTCAATGACAGACTTTATGGTACAGCGCGCACGTGCTAACCATTCAGCCATCCAACCCCCCGACAGACGTGTGCAATAATTTCAACTACCGTACTGGTTGATCGAAGCTAAGTCTCGGTCCTCCACATTTGATTAAATCAAAGTATCGCTGAACCATTCTAATCTATTTAATATCGGAGAAATCTGATACCATCGAGAGTTGATTAAGGCCTGGATCAGTTAATTAATGTCTAATTAATGCCTTAGAAAACATTTCAGGCCTAAAGAAAGACCTGCAATAGGCAGATTTGGGTCTTGCATAATGCATGTTTAAGGGATTATGATTAAGTCCTGAAGATGAGAACATAGTTAGCAACAATCAAGAACTAAACGACCTACGAGTAAAGAAAAACAAGCATCATTTTGAATATTATGGAAATATTATTTCGGTTGTGAAATCTAATCTGTAAGTCATCAGTCCCTTGGCTGAAAATGTCAACAGGAATATTCTGGTCATTGTCCGTCGCACACAAATGCAATTTGTATGTCAGTATGGTTGATAGATTTATTTGGCACAACATAATAAATCAAATCATAGCATATTTTTCTAGAACTAATTTGGGGGGCGCCTTTGAGATTGGGGCTCTTAGTTGCAGTTTGGTCAGCACCCCGCTTAATACAGTACAGTTACAACTGACAAAAAATAATCGCCTCAATCTGATGGGAAAAACGATCTATATGAGTGAGGTGCAAGAATAAGGAAACAAACTAGTTTCATTTTCTCGTCATGTCACTTATTCTTCGCCGCGATGGGGGGGGGGGGGCGAAACCAATTGGTCTGAGGCCATAGAGCTACCCAGTTCGCCCCTGACAATTTTAATCTGGGGATAAATTCGGAATTATGATCATAAAAAATGGTTGCAAACTGCAAACCTTTTAAAATCGAAATCAGAGGAAATTAGATACCAGCCATACAATAGGTCGTTAACTGGTTTCCTGTCCAACTGAGGACTTAAGCCAACGAACAAGGAGTATTGATCAATGGTGCATGTACGTACATTGAGAGGGCGTTTTTTCGGAACAGAGGTGACATAGCCACACCAATCCCTATACCCTAGCTGGGAATCTCACCGGATTCGATTGTTATCAACCATTTCCTGTGTCTTTTGTTTTTGCAAACACCACCTCCTGTATACCCACACAGTACGGCTCTAATGAAGCCCCTGGTATAACTTCTATAATATTCTAATAACACGGTATTTTAATATAGCAAGCATTCAATTCATTTTATTAGATATGAAATATATTATGTGTATTTAAAATTTCATAAATCTATACAATCTGTTGTATAGGATAAGCTACTCGGTTTGATCTGATATTTTCAATTTCATAACTTTTATTTTTTATAACTGTCTATGTGTTGCCTTTCATTGTGTAAATCAAATTTAATTTTCATAAATCTATACAATCTGCTGTATATCAGATCAATTAAAAAAAATGTATTTATTATATGGTGCCAGGTGTTTCTTTCATAATGGCTGCCAAATTTGGTATTATTATTATTATTATTATTACAGCATATTTATAGTGCGCCCTTTCATATAACATGTTCAGGGGCACTTTACAAAGTGACAATGTAATCA